GGACTACACAGCCTTTGATATTCATGGCAGCCATACAGAACCATAGGGCTTTTCAAGTGCTCTTGAGTACTGTTTGTGCTCCTCCTCTAGAGGCTAGAAATCCTGGGCTACTGACAGACACTTCACACAAACCTAGCCAAAAGCAAGTTCCTCAGCAGTCTGGCAAGCTTGACACACTGAACTAATCTGTTTTTTTGCTGCTGAAGAGTCCTATCTCTACTCATTTGCTCCCACTCCATGGAGCCCTGTCCACTGCAGTTTGACTCAATATAGCTTGCAATGTGGGAAGCAGTATTTTTGCAGGGTTGATTTTTGTGGCCTATCTGTAAATTGATTAAATTATGGTGAGGTCAGTGAGCTGTTAGGTTGGCTCAGTTTGATCTGGTCAAACCACACCTACTGCTCAAGCCTGCTCTGGCTTTGCAAAATTTGTGCTCTTATAGCCACTCATCCCAGGATAGGGAGGTGCTTTCTGGGGGCTGATGATACAATTCCAGCCACCACCTTTCTCTGACCATTGCTGCTTCCTTGCTGATTGTACACCACACAAGGAATCATTTCTCTGTTGGTATCTGAAGGGCTGAACTCAGTCATGCAACTACCTCCCACTACCACGTGCTGACTCAAGAAACCTCTCAGGTCAACCTGCCAGTCCTTCCTGCTGCCTTAGGTAAAGATCTCCCAATCTTCTTAAGCAAATGGACCCATATGTGACAGGAATTTGGGGCAATGGCTAGGAATAGTAGCTAAATCTTTCTTCTGGGTTGATAAGGCTTCAAAAAAAATTTTTTTTTGAAGAGGAAAGCCAAAATTCTGGATGAAGTTGGATTCTATGAAATTTAATGAGTGAGTCAGAACCTTGTCAGTATTTTGCCTTTTTTTTTTTTCTTTTTTTTTTTCTCTGGAGTACCACATAAATGTGTGGTTTAAAAAGCAAAACGTGGTTCTACAGATTCTACTGCAATTTTTACCCTTTTACCCAAGTGACTGAATTTGAAGAAGGTACCTCACATTCAGAGGATACCTCCTCTGATTCATTGTTTTTTTTTGTGTGTGTGTCATAGTTGCTTTTTCAGGCATGCAATTTAGATATTCTGCTTGTTGCCCCTTCAGTAGCGGCTGTGTTTTTTTGAACGGAATCCCTAATGATTACTCAACCTCATTTTAAATCCCAGGCTTTCAAACTAAAACAACCTGAGCCCCAGTTTTCCCAGTGGTGCAGAATACACCACACCAACATGCATTCCTGCACATCTTGTCCAGTTGCATTCTAGGCTTCAGTATGACAAAAACACCACTTTACAGAGGAACAGAGCAACACGGATGTGAAAACTGATCTTGACCACATACCAGCAATTGTTAGATAATATGCTCCTTCAAAAAAATGCAGGGTCACTGGTAGAAGGGACTACTAAACCCAGAAATAATGTACTGTAGCTCAGCAGTTTCAAAGGAGCATACAGACAGAAAAGACATTTCCACTTGGTGGAAGTTGTGTTAGGTGGTGCACTTCCTTCTGAATTTGTACAACTCAAAGATTTAAACCAATGAGATCTAATTACAAGGTCAAATGCAACACTGAGCTTACAGGTGAATGACAGGAGAGGTGTTAGGATGCAAATTGGAAAGAACTCTACTTGATCTTTCAAAATCTTCCCTGAGGTTTCATCAGAATCGGGTGGGCATCGTTCCTCTCCTGAATTCTGCTGCTACTTACGGCAAGGGCTGCATCTCAGTTCTGAAACAGCTGCATTTTTGAACCTGTTGGTTATTCTCATTTCATATAGGCCAGTGTTGCTTTCTTTGGATCTACATGGCTCAAACTACAACGTTCCTTTTCAGCAAATAGATTGGGAAGTCATCACAGGGTCTGTAGTTTATCACTAGCAGCCTAGAAAGAGGTGGTGAGGGCTTGAAGAGGAAAGGCTCTTTAATAATAAACTGGTCGTGGTTAGTTTATTCAGATCACATACTGATACAGTACATCTGGTGGGTAATCTCAAGGAAGAAGAAACAATGGCTCCTCTAATTGGGCATGGAGCTCAGTCTCTGTGGGGATACCAGGTCAGTACTAATTCGGCAAGACCACCACCTAACAGAGCTTCCACACACTATGGATATGATCAGCTCCCTGATACATCCAGGATTTTCCTGGTAAATGTTTTGGTTCTTGTACATTGATAAACACAAAACTGCAAATAATGACTCTTGTATCCTTTTTCCTTTTTTTTTTTTGCTTGTGCTCTTTATCTCCACTGTAAAGTTGTGAATTAAAACTTTTTATCATTCTTCATTTAACATTTCTACTCCTTTTTGTAATAGTGTACCTACTTTTCTTTTTTAATAACATACCTCTTTAGTTTTTTTTTTCAAATGTATTGTGATTTATCTCTTTTTAATGCTTATAACTATTCTATTATGTTTCAGTGTTATTTTAATGTGCATTTAGTAATAGCATGACCATGTCCCCCTAATTTTAGGTACTGGACTAGAAAACATTGGTCTTCAACTGGTGTTGTGAAGCCTATTTACATCTGAGTTTTATTGTGCTAAAAACCCCTCTTAATAAATAGAAACAACCGCAATACAGGTATTTCAAATTCTTCTGTCCTAAAGCACTGCAATTATGCCACAGGTCTGCAATCAGATCCATACAGCTGAATTGCTAGATCAGCAACGTCTCATGGAAGAAGTTGCAGAGCTCTCCACGGACATCCAACTGCAGTAGAAATTGAAATCTATGTCCTAGACAACATACTCTTTCTAAAGCAAAACGCCATGCCAACATTCAGCAATTCCCTGCTGATTAGCAAGGCCCAGTTTTTTAATATCATTTCCAGCATATAAGCAGGAAATTACTTCTCTTACATATCAAACTTGAACTATTTCCTAGGTTATCAAAAGTCCAAAGCCATCTGTAATAGTTTTTGTTTCAGAATGACGGCGTATCACTAACAACGTCTGATACAAACAAGAATTTTTAGATACTACAATGGTCTTACGCAGCGTGTAATCTTCCATTTTCATCATGCCCTAACTTGCTCCTGTGTATATAGTGACTTATCCTTAAAGGTTGTGGATTCTAGCTTTTACTGGCTAGAAGTTATTTCTGACACTATATTACGTCAAAATAAATGTGATTGTGTTCTTAGTTAAAGCTTTTCATTCTTGGAGTTCTGATATTAAAATAAAAATTACGAATTGCAAAAAGCTTCCTCTCTTTTATGGATGTGCTATTTAACTCACCAAGAACTGATTCTGAAGTAGACTCACAAAGACTATGTAAACATACAGACATTTCAAAATGGAGTTTTTTGTGTTTTTTTTTTTTTAATACCCTGGGAAAAAAAAAAGGAGTTTGACAAATAGTTTTGGGATTGATTTGCAATTTACTTGCAAAATACACATGCCAAAAATCAGACTGCACAGAAAGAACAATGTTATGCTGACGGGGCAGATGCTGCAGTCTTCCTCCATTCTAACTTCCTAATATTAAATTCACATTTTTCACAGTGCCTTCTTCCTGCTCTGTGACAGTTTCTGGGCTAAGTAAGGCTGGGCGGTTACTGCAAGGTCATAGTGATGGACTGGTTAAGAAGCAATGTTTATTCTCTGTTCAGAGAACACGCTGAAAATCTTGACCACGTTTCTTGGTGCCATAGTTACTGTCAGCAGGCCTTTCTGGGTAGCCCGTAGCTTCAGCTACAAAGCACAAATACAGCCAGATAAGAATATGCTCACTGCCATCTTCTAGGTGATTCTCAGGGATAATCACATTATTTTTTTAAGGAAAGCAGGCTTGAGTTCCTCAGTCTGATGCTTTTCAACCTCTTTCAGAGATTCCCTAGGAGTTTATGTGAAAGGCTGAGCTCATTTGTTGGTGTCTAAAAGCCTGGGGTCCCACCTGCAGCACAGCCCGCAGGGTGCTGCATCATGCTGCACCTGGGCACGCAGCAAGGCCACGCTGGGGCTGCTCAGCTTCACAGGAAGCCTTCGCGGGCAGTGGTGTAACAAACAGGCCCCGCGAACCAGCGTCATCCCTGCATCACCGTACACTTTGAACTTATTTCCTGCCACAGTTTAGCAACGCGGGTTCCTAGCTTCCTCTGTTGTGTAACACGAGCCGCCAACTGCTGCTGCCGAGGGGAATCTCTTCATTCCCCTTAAAACGCCTAAAAAAGGCCGGCCTGCCTAAACAAGGCCCGTCCGCCCCAGCACTCGCTGCTTGCTGCCAGAGGCCGTGGCTGCCGGCCCGCTCCCAAGCGGCTGCGGGGCCCCGGCCCTCGGCGGCCAGCGCCTGACGCAACGGCGGCGGCTCGGCCGCGGCCCCGGCCCCGGGCTGCCGCTGCCCCGGGGGCCCCCCGCCGGGCTCCCCCCGCCGGGCTCCCCGGGGACGCGGCGCCGACATCTTAGGGCCGGGCCGGGCCGGGCCGGGCCGGGCGGCAGCGAGAGGCCCCGCGCCGCCCGCCGGGGCTCTGGCCGGGTGCGGGCGCGGCGCGGCCGGGGCCCGTCGGGGGCCCGTCGGGGCGGCGGGCGCCGCTCATTGTTCCCCGGCCGGGCCGCGGCAAACAGGAAGCCGCCTCGGCGCGCGGCGCCCCCCCCGCCCCCGGCGGGTGAGTGGCAGCCCGGGCGGCCGCTGCGAGCGGCGGCGGCGGCGGCGCGCAGCCAATGAGCGCGCGCGGCCGGGCGGAGGCGGGAGTTCCGGGCTGGCAGGCGGGCGGGCGGGCGGCGGTGTCGGCCGGGCCCCCTCTCCCGCTGCAAGCCCCACCTTTCGGCTTTCCCGCACCGTCAATCAAAATAGGAAAAAAAAGCCCGGAGTAAGGCTCGGGCCGCCGCCGCCGCTTCAGCCCGCGAGCACAATAAGCATGTCCCCGGCGGCGGCCGCCTAGCCCCGGCCGGCGGGGCCTGCGTGCGAGCCAGCCAGCCCGCCCGCCTCCCTCCCTCCCGCGCCGCCCGCCAGCCAGCCGGCCGCTCGCTCCCGCACCATGACCGGTACGTACGCGCCGCCCCGCGGGGCTCCCCGCCGCTGCTCCGGCCCTGCGCGTCCCCCGCTCCGGCCCCGGAGCCGTCCGTGCGGTGGCGAGGCGAGAGCGGCACTGAGAGCGGCAGCAGGAGGAGCAGGGGGAGGAGGGAGAAGAGGGGCAGGGGCAGCAGCACGGGGAGGAGGAGGAGGAGGAGGAGGAGGGCTCCGTGCGGGAGGGCGGGGGGAGCGCTGGGGTTAGGGGGGGGGAGAGGAGGGAGGGAGGGAGGGAGGGAAGGAGAGGAGGGAGGGAGGGAGGGAGGGAGGGGGTGATCGCTCCCGTCAGTGACTCTCCCCTCCCCCTCCCCGCTGCGCCCGCAGCTCCCGAGAAGCCCGTGAAACAAGAGGAAATGGCTGCCTTGGACGTGGACAGCAGCAGCCACGGCGAGTATCTCCAGCACGGCAACGGCGCCGCCTCGGCCTCCGCCGCCGCGGCCGCCCCCCAGGTAAGCGCAGGCCCGGCCGGGCCGCCCGCCCGCCCCCCCCCTCTCCCGGCTCCCCCCCCCGCCCCGGTGACACGTCGGGAGCGGGTGCGGGAGCCGGTGCCGCCGCCGCCGCTTCCTGTGTGCGCGCCTGCGAGGAGCCCGGCCGCCGTCCCGCACTAACCGCCACCCACTTTCTCTCCCTGAACCCGCCCCTTGTGGGTAGGACGCTCAGCCGTCACCGCTCGCTCTGCTGGCGGCCACCTGCAGCAAGATCGGCCCGCCGTCGCCGGAGGAGGATGAGGCCGCCGCCGCCGCCTCTCACTCTGCCGGAGCGGTGAGTGCCCGCCCCGCCGCTCTCGCACGGCCTGCCGGGGGGAGAGACAGCACAGCCAGCCAGCCCGCCCGCCCGGGGGGAGGGACGGGACACACGGCACTGCCCGCCCGGGGGGAGGGACGATAGCAGGGCCGACCTGCCAGGAGAGGGGTCCCCGGGCTCCCCTGCCTCTCCAGGAGGAGCCGGGCTCCCGGGAGGAGGCGGGAGCCTGGCTCCCCCCTCCCCCGCCGGCGGCGGCGGCGCCTCCGTTTACTTTCAAAACCGGGGCCGGGCGGGAAAGTCGCCCTCCCCCGGTCCTGGCACCGCAGCGGCTCGCCCGGCGGGGCCGGAGGCGCCTCACCTCCACCTGGGCGCACCCCCGGCGGCCGGCGGCCCGGGACGGCGCGGCCGGGCGGGAGCACAAAATGAAGGCTGCCTCGCCGGGGAGGATGTAGGGCGAAGTAAAATGGCTGTTAGACAACCAGCGGCGGCGGAAAGCTGCTTCCTGTGTCGACGCTGCGCTTTGCAGACGCAGTCGCCACGCGGTCTCGCCTACCGCGGGCCGAGTTTCTGCCCTTATCTCGCGGGTGCCGTCTGCTCCGAGAGGAGCCCCGATGACCTTGGGACCTTGCGTGATGAGATGGATCTCGCGCGCCAGAAATTTATTCCCGTGGAGGCTAGTTTAACCATCTCCATAACAAAAGCCTCCTATCTGCCTCGATCCGTTGACCTAATCTCTCCTTTTGGCTTACGCTCGTAAAGCCAGCAGAGATGGGGCGTTTAAAAATAAATGGTATCTAAAAATATGGGTATATGAAAAGGGCGGATCCAGAATGCCTTTAAAAATGATGTGACAAGGTCTTTTTGGCCTTACTACTTGGGAAATCACGTATACTACCTCTTCTGAACAAACAGGGCTTTAAGACAAGAAACAAAGCTCTCTTTTTTCATTTTTTTTTAAGCAAGTCTTTTTTTTTAATTGCTGTACGGAAGCCTACGTTTTCATGGTTCTGGAAATTGGCGAAAAAATCTGCATGGCAGATTGGCACTGCCAGACCTTTTTGTTACAAATGTCAAAATGTTAGTGGTAACGTTAAGCTTACTAAACGCTCAAGTGCTAAACTTCAACATACTGTATATTCATCTGTATGTTTCAGCTTCCTTTTCCCTTCAGGTAAAGGAAGAATGTAAAAATAGTTGTCTGAGGTCATGTGGCATATTGCAGCCTAAGAACAGAACTTGAAAACATATTAAAATTCTTACCCCCCTTTCAAATGCACTTTCTGCCGAGCCTGTTTATGTTCTTAAGCTGTAGTCTTTTGAAGGCCTTTGTAGATGTTGTTAAGTGTCTACTGCCTCTAAAACTTGTTTCATAATACCAGATGCATATGGTGCTGAAAAGTGGGATGTTGGATCTGTCTCTTGCATAAACACACACATCAAAAAATGAATGATGCTTAAATGATGGTTTGCTTTCCTATATCCACCTCAAGGTGGTTCTCATTATAAAGCTAGAAATGTGCATCTTGAGAGTGGGTTGACTGTTCAGCATGAGCAGTGGTGCTGGAGTGCTAGTACAGGACAAGACAAATAGTTCCTAATAGTTCAAAACAGGAAAATAGGTCTTGAAATGTCACTTTTTCACTTCTCTTAGGTTGATGTATGAGGGGCTCTTCAGGGCAAGGCAGAAACAATTTATGAGAGGCCAGAACCTTAGTTACAACAAAATACTAATAGAGGTTTACTCACTAGTCTGCATACGTGCATATAGGCCTCTCCAACATAGCTGCCATGAGTTAGGTTATACAATTCTGGTAATTTTTTTCTGCTGTAACATTGCTCTTGAATGATTCAGAATATTTTGGATGGAATCTAAATATAAATTGGAGGAGTCTATGGTAGCTGAACCAGACACTGGAGTTAATTAAGATGACCTTGATTAAGGGAGGGGAGGGAGGGAAGTCCCTGAGATGTGTTCCTCGTGAAAAAGAATGACAAAAGAGTTGTGATGAAATACAGATTTTTTTCTGATCCCTGGAACGCATCTTGCTGGGGAGTGGGAGAAGGAAGGAGGAGCTAAAAAGGCTTGAATTGTAGATGCCTTGTAAGTCATAGGGAAAATGAAGTCTGTATGCGGGGACGCAGGCTTATTGTCTTCATGGGGTTTCTGGTGTTCCTCCCTTTCCAAGGCTTACAGATGGATCGGTTTGATACGTGCATATGGGTGGTGGTGCCTAGTTTAGCAACTGAGAGGTGATCCTTTCCCAAAGTTTTCCACACCTGGATTGTGGTCCAGACTGCTGAAGGTCCGTTAGGATTCTCAAGCCATGTAAATGGATAGTTGAAGATAAGCAAGTAGGCATTTGCTTTTAGAGGCACTCAAAGAGCTTTTATGTATGAGGATAGCAGTGCTGCGTTTTAGGGTTGTTTTGTTAATGCTTTACTGACGTTCGCTTGGTAGGAAATGGCAGGGCTGGAGCCAGTATGCTGGACTAGCCAGTTATTGCATGCTGCTTTCCTGGCTGAAATGGTATGCTGCAGCTGCTCCCCAAGAGACCAGGAGAATGATTTAAAAGCAACAGCAACAACAGAACTCCCATAGGAATGTGGGGAATATCGTGTGTCTGGGATTTGGGAAAGAGCCGGAGCAAATGTGGTCGTGTTTGCTGTGATCTAGTTGGCCCTGCCTTGAGCCTGGGGGTTGGACCAGATGACCTTCAGAGGTCCTCTCCAACTGAAATTATTCTCTGTTTGTGTCTGAATCCAGGCCTGCTGTTGGAGCAGACAACACTTTTATAGCACTGAAAGGATTAGCGTGGAAATACAGAGACTTACCAAAAGTGGCAACTGCTTGGTATGGAAAGCAAGTGAAGAAGATAGGAGAGGGCTTAGCTCCGTTGCCTACCTTCCATCCCTCTGGCAGGGAACTGACTGCAAAGGCTGTCTCTAGTGCACAAGGTTTTCGGCTTGGCCTAGGATTCTGATTAGGGTTATATTTGCTTTTGGATGGCAAAATATTAGCTAGCATTACTGTTGGTCCTGCCATTGTATGTTGATGGGGGCTGCAGTCTTTCAACTTAGGCTTTGCTGCTGTGATTGGTCCTGCCTACAACCATCTGACCCCGGTGCTTTGTGTTCTGCCCGCTTGGTTTTCATTTAAATGCAGATGGCCTTGAGTTTATGGCTTGCTTACCTGAGAATCGTTTCCTCCATTGCATACTGCTGTATCCATGGTTTGTTCAAACGCTCGCCATGGAAACTTCCCCTCAAATACTGCTGACCACTGGTGCGTACGAAAGTCTTGCTGGGATGGTGCGCCCTGCTGCCTGACCCAGAGTGACAGCTCATGTATCCTGACCTCTGTGGATGCTTCTCTTTCCCTTGGGAATTTGAAGTCTGAGAAGCTTTAATTTGCTTTTTCACTATTTATCGTTGACTAATAATTCTACTTAAACGTTCATATTTAGGATTATTTATAGCTAAACGAAAAAGAATCTAGTTTCATTCCAGTTTAAACATCTGCAAAGATTTTAGCATTAGGGGAAAAGGAGAAGCAACGTGGAAGACGGCAGAGCCGTGCATAGAGGAGAAAACGAAAGAGGAAACATTCTAAAATTGCAGTCTAACAAAGTCTTGGTCACCTGCAAAGCTGTATGGTAACCAGGTGTGTGTGCGCTCTAATTTCATTGCGACGCAAAGCACAAACTACTCCTTTCAGCTACCAGGCTCCCAGGGGTCACTGTTATGGTTGTGCCAGGTATGGCTGGGATAGGTGAGGATAGAGCCCAAGACCGATGGGAGCGTGGGGTGGGAGGCCTGGAAGGCCCAAGAATTAAGAACAGTGGCAGGCTGGCTGAGAAAGCTGTTGATTCTGACAGCTGCCAAAAAATGGGAGCTGTCAGAGTTGACTGCCCCAGTTGCGGTAGGTAGTTGCAAACAGTGCATTGTGGGCTGCACTTATTCCTCAGTTTTAAAAAGAAAAAAGGCTGTGGAGTGATTAGTATGTATTGCTGCTTACCAGCAAGATGTTAAAAACATTTGTAGAGGTTAATAATTAGCAATGTGGGGAAGATGAGTGTCATTTCTGGGCTGTAGACAAAGCATTTGTTTGCATATTTTACAAATAAAGGTTAGAGTGTTAGAAGAATGCTTTGGTGTATCTTCAGCTTGAGAATTGAGTATCTGTGATTCACAGAATTTAATGAAAATGTGCAAGTCCAGTTTATTGATGCCTCAGAACACTACTTTAACCATTTGAGAAGCAACTGGATTCTAGAATCTCGTTCTAGATGGAAATAGTGATAGTGCTGGTAGGACAGAGAAATATGAGGGTCTTGCAAATTTTGTGTTTTGTAGTAGTCAAAAATACAGATGAGCAGCATGCATGTTATCCATACCTCCCAGTTCTCTGGCCTGTATCATGGTTTTGAGGAAGCTCCAAGTTATCTTGATGTCCATTT